GGATAGTATAGTGGAATAAACAGGCAGGAATCAACGCGGCAAGCCACTACCACCCGTGTCTGTCCAGCATAATGTATCACAGTCAAATCGTCCTAGTGTGTCTTCGTCCACCATTGCGTCATTTTGTCCGTCCCCGTTCCACCTTATGTTGTGTTTCACTTGTGGCATGCCCGTTGATCATTTTATAAAGGATCCCGTAGAAGCCCAAAAATAAACTAGTTGTAAGTCATCGTTCCATGATATGGTTTGATTTTCATGTGGGGGTAACTCATCGTTTTGTGTATTTAAAGTAAGGGAAACTCGAAACTGGCCGAGGTAACCGGGGACTTAGGTCAGAGGAAGGAGCACCCGGGATAGGAAAACTTTGCAAAGGAAGATAGAATATGAAGCAGCACGTAGAAGAATATTTTGTGAGGAAAAATAGGAATGTTATGAAAATACAGAAGATGAGGGCAAAGAAGAACAATCTTAAAAGGATACGTTACAAGATTATTTCAACAATAGTCACTTTAAAGGGGGATAATAGATTTTTTGCGAAAACTAAAATAGGGGGATCGGAAGTATTAGCACTGTTAGACTCTGGAGCAGGAGCAAGTTGTTTAGGGGAAAATGCGAGCACCTAAAAGGCCAGGAAGACCTAATAATGCCAATTAAGGGTCAGAGCATTAGGATTGAAAATGGTGGGGAAACGTCGGTAACTGGTGTTGTTACACTCCCGGTAGAATGGGACGACATGACAAAAAATATGGAGTTTCTAATTGTGCCAGGTTTACAGCAAGAAGTTAAACCCCCCCTCAAGTCAAAGAATAATATTTCACTAATATGGGTCTAGAAAAAAGGCTCTTTAGAAGAAGGTATGCGTAATAAAGATTCAAAACACGAATTTTTAAAATCATATATTAAATTTTTCACTTTATTTATAAAACATTTTGATAACTTTAAACACATTAAATTTTTCTTTTTACTTATAAAAAAATGAAATGAAGAATTTTAAAATTGTTCGTGGTTTTTTGAAAAATTCTTCTAGAACTTCGTCAACTGAAAAATGTATATCTTTGTGAATATTCATAGATGCTAGACCGTTGAGCCTTTCTTGACATGTTGTATTTCTCAAATAGGTTTTACTTCTTTTCAGGCATGAAAAGCTTCGTTCAGGTGTGGCTATTAAAACGGGCAAAAGTGCCAATATACGTAAGATCTTAAAAACATTCCCAAAAGATGTTCTATTAGCTACTTGTAATGCTTCGAGAGCAGTTCGAATATGTTTGTGTGAAACTCGTTTTTTCACATTTTTACCTTCAGAAGAAAGTTTTGTTTCGAGCAGTCGATTACTTTTTCATAGAAAGCAAACAATTCTTCAGTTTTTTTTCGTTAAAATCATACTTTGGAAACAAAACACTAAAATTATTTAAAACTGATTTATGGTTTAGGAACCGGCTTTTCAAATGAGCAATATATGTATCAAGGAAGGGAATGCGATAGTATGCCTCGGCGTCTCCGGTTTTCACATTAAAGCAATTCTTTTGGCGACTGCTGTATGGAGGTACTTTGATTTCTGTACCTAGGTTGGTGCATACTTCTTCTACGTGTTCGAAAAGCAAATGAAAGTTTTTTTCTGCATCTTGTCGCATTTCTTCAAATTTCTTTAAAGCGTCGTCGGCTAAGCTCATTGCTTCTGCAAGATCTTCATCAGGTACTTGTAATTGCCGGCTAGCAAAGCAACAACAATTTATAAAAAAGCAAATGTTTGGCTGTTGTCGCTGTTCTATTAGAAAGACTTAATGACCTACTTAAGGTTTGCTTGAGTTTACAAAATTTTAATTGCTTTTCGGCTCTTATTGCAATTATTGCATAAAGAGTTTGTTGTGTGGGTTTTTATCTGTTTACCTTTGTTTCACATGTGTCTTTATTGTGCTGACTTTGCCTTTTTTTTTTGAACATGATATGTTTTATTTTGTTTTCTTTGGCTCGTGTGCCTGTTTATTAATATGAGTAAACTGGAGTGCTTATTGTTTGGGTTTTTTTTTTGTTATTACTAAGGTTTTATACTGTTTTAAGTCTATTCTTATGAATTATAATTTCTTTATTTTTATTGTTTTTATTGGTATTTCCTATGCTATGTGGTATTAAAGTAAAATTGTTATTCTTATCAATATTTTTAACCTTATAGTATCCGTTATATTTATTTTCTAGCTTATGGGAGGCCTCTTCTCTAACTAACACTAAATCTCCTATGTTTATTTCCATACTGTAGCTACTTTTGTCACAATTTGTTTTTTGTTTTTCTTTAGCCTCTTGGACTGATTTCCTAGCTCTTTGCTGTGCTATTTGAAGTCTATATTTTACTTCTTTGTCGTAAGCTTCGTGATTGTACAATGGGCTGATTTTATTTTCTGTTAGAAATTCGTAATTTGGTGGATTTTTGCGAATATAAGTTCAAAAGGACAATATTTATGTGTGGTTGATGGCGTCGTATTGTAACAATACGCGAAATATCTGAGGTATTCGTCCCAATCATCTTTGTCGCTGGATATGTATGAACGTATATATTCATTGAATGTCCTGTGACTGCGTTCTACAATACCCAAGGTTTGATGATGATACGGTGTTGAAGTTTTATGCTCAATTTTCAACAGTTTACACAGTTCTTTGAATAAGTTATTTTTGTATTCTGTGCCCATGTCCGTCATGATTGTTTTCATGTGCCCATAAATCAAAATGAAATGCTCGAACACGGCTTTAGCGACTGTTGTTGCGTGTTTGCTTGGGACTGCTAGCTAATTACCAAACTGGCAGGATCGCCATGTGAGGTGTAATCAGCTGGTGGCCCATGAAATGAAGTGTAGACAGCTTTTACGAGTAATCAGCATTGATTTTTTTTGAAAGTATTCTCTTTTTATACAAAATTTCTTACACTAATTTACACTAATACTTATAAACTACAAGCATTTACATAGTATGCAAAGTCAGCACATTTCTTCATAGTTATTTCGACTGTTGACAAACCGACACTGTCGATTAGTCACGTGAGTTGGTCAATGCGACGGCTAGAGTAATAATGATGACAAATGTAAACAGATATATATGACGTGGAACTCCCGCTGAGTTCATTAGAATTTATTTGGGTCATAATGGCTTAGCTGTGTGCGGTCGATATTTAGTGTAATACTACAGTAATACAGAATTGGGTGAACCCAAGTGTAGCAACGGCAAAGCAAACGACTCAGCGGCGCCAAGCTACAAAAACAACGAAACAGCAAAGTAAGCTACAACGTTCAGTAGCTAGCGCAGCAACCAAGTGCAACGAAAATCCACCCTTAAAAAGTGTGTGATACAAGAAGTGAAGCAAGTAAGCGCAAAGCTTACGAGCAAAGTAAACCAAAGGCAAAAGCCGATACGGTGGAGAAAAATTCGGTGTGATTCATTCAATGTTTAAGAGTGAATACGTAAACACGACCGAGAAAGGAAATTTTAAGATGCTGAACAGTGTTGCCGCCGCTCAAAGAACTTTCTAACCATGATTAGACGAAAAAGTTACCAAATGTAAGGAAAAATAACCAATTTTTTCATCAGATTAACAGTTCAGGTCATCACAAATTCTTTTGTATAGTACTACAGAAAAAGTTCACAAGCCAAAGAAAATCAATTTGTATATGCATTTTTGAAAAGTAAATCATTTTAAGGCTGTTATATGTACATACATATACATACGTGGTATTGGATTCCGCATATACGAGGTATTTATATATGTACTATCTAAGTATGTATTCATTTGAGGTAGCCGACCATGTATATTATGTATTCTGTATATTATAAAACAAATACATACATATGTAAGTAATATTAATACATTCATTCCAAAAATGTTTACTTGGTTTGACTGCTGGGGCTGCTCCACCTCGGGAAGTGTAGCTGGCCGATGGCAATTAAAAACTACAGTAAATATTAAAATTAGTTTTTGTTATTTTATGGCCTTATAACAATTATATTCAGCAATTTTTATTGAGCTCGAGGCCGATTTTATTGAAAAACTTATTGTGGAAAAGCAACAATAATTTGAAAAAATGGAAGAAGTGATAGCTATTTCGGAAATCACCACATTTCCTCATCAGACTTCTTTCAGTAGGATTCGAACCGACGATCCCACTGACTCAGCCAGTTGCCTACGCACTGTGCTAAGTTAGCCTTGTAAATTATCGTTGCTTTTTTTCCTTTTTCATTTGCTAAGCCAACACAATCAAGCGCAGCTATTCCGCTACGATTTACACTTGATCATGTGGTTGTTGGTTTTTGTTAATGTAAATAATAACTAGTAATTTTTAGCAAAAAAAAACCGACTTCAACTCCCATATAAAAAAAATATATATATATATATATCTCATGATCCGCTGATCGGATCTTAACCAGATTAGTATGGGACCACCTCTGAGATCGAAATCGGTTGACGTGGTCCAAAGTTATGCGGTAACATACATAAAAAAAAAAAAAAAAAAAAAAAAAAATATTCCGACGAACTGATAACCTCCTCCTTTTTTGGAAGTCGGTTAAAAACTAACCAAAACGGGAAAGAGCTTAACAACTTCACAGGCAAGAAAAAAATAACCAAAATTGGTTAAAAGTAAACAAAACGGCAACACTGATGCTGAAGCTAACTGCGCTAAAAGTTGCTCAACTAAACGAATTACTGCGAGCTAATGGTGCAACAACGACTGGGACTAAGGCCCACAAAGTTGCGAAGCTACAGGAATGACTTGGAACTGATGAAATCGATTCATCCGAGCTAGAAGAAACTGCTGCAAACGCAAATCGACGGGCTGAAAGTAGTGATGGCGAATTTGACGACAGCGATCAGCGCAATGAATATATGAGTGCAAACCAGTCGCAACGAACAAACGCCTGTAAGTAATGAAAATGAAATACAACTAACGTCTCCCGTTGTAATTCAAGAGCCAGCAAATGTGCTATATGCACAACGACAACCAACTATGATGATTCAAGATATGGTCGGAATTTCGCCTGATCCGGTTAAAGGAACTATAACGTCAGGACAGTTCATCATGAAAATTGAAGAACTAAAGCAAAACTACAAATGGCCTGAGGTAATGGTGTTGGTGGCTATACAACACAAATTGAAAGGCATGGCAAAGCTATGGCTAGATGCGCAACCAGTGCATAGCAGCTGGTCGGATTTCGTGCAGGCATTTTATGTCGATTTTCCGACTGGGTACTATACGGCTGAAGTACACAAAACGATGGCTAAACGAAAACGCAAATTCAATGAAGACTACGTTGAGTTTTACTATGCTATGGTAACGATGGGACGACAAGGTGCGGTGGATGATTTGTCGATTATCACACATATTATCAGCGGGCTAAATGATAATTCATTATCAAAGACATTGGCAGCAATACGGTTTAAATCAAGCAGCGAATTATTGACAGCGTTAAAAAATTTAAAAGCGACAAACAACCCAGTAGTAATGAGTATGGGTACAACTCCTACCCAGCAGGTTACAAAGGTGGACAGCAAGGTCAACGCAAGACTCCAGGGCAAATTAGCGGCCAAGTGTTCACAACCACAACGCAAACCGCGGAGTACCTCATGTTCGAAGGTAGGTCACATCGCGAAAGATTGCAACAAGTCTACTTATGGAGCTTGCGGACGAAGGTACACGCAATGAGACTACGCCAGTAATGAAAATAATTGAAGTAGAGGGCAAGCGGTTCAACGCATTTATTGACACCGGTAGTGGATGTTCATTCATCAGGAAAACTGCAGCAAATAGTATGCAGGCAATTAGTGTGCAAAAACGATTTATTGGTTTTGGCGGGTGCAAGGTGGAAGCATCTGAGAAAGTCGAAGACAACACCGTGATGGAAAAGGTGCAACGGCAGGCGACCTTGTATATTGTTGAAGACCAATTACTACCTTATGACGTTTTATTGGGTCGCGATGTACTACAAGAGTATGGCTTTCGTATAGTTGTAGACGACGGGGTCTACCAAATCAACGAAGGCGAAGACAACTTCAACATATCTAAAGAGCGAGGTAAGGTGCTGGAACTTTTACTAAAGTACAAGTCTTGTTTTGCAGAAGACATATGTGATATTGGGCGGTGCAAAGGCATCGAGATGTCAATTCAGGTCACGGCAGATAAGCCAATTGTAGGGAAGCGATACCAGGTCCCGTTCGCGCAGAGGTCAACGTTAACAGACATACTGCGTAAGTTACTAGACTGTGGTATCATAAGGTCTAGCAATTCACCACATGCAGCATCAGTTTTATTGGTGAAGAAGAGCAACGGGGAAAGTCGCATGTGCGTCGACTTCCGCACCCTAAACGAAGTGACCGTGAAGAAGAATTACATCATGCCAGTGGTGGAGGAGCAGCTTTCACGCTTAGCCGGAAACAAGTATTACACCACTTTGGACATGACGTCGGGCTATTATCAGGTTCCATTAGCAGAAGAGTCTAAGCAATACACGGCGTTTCTGACGTCTAATTTCTTGGACATATCATCAATCGCGACGGTATAAGACCCGGTGAGCACAAGACGAAGGTCATAGAAGAGTTTCCTACTCCTTCGACGGCAACGGCAGTGCGTCAGTTTTTGGGGAACACCGGATACTTCGGAAAATTTGTGAAGAACTACGGGGTAATGGCACGACCGTTAACGCTATTGCTTCGTAGGAATAATATTTTCGAATGGAACGATGTGCAGAAAAATGCGTTTGAGGCATTAAAAGAGGCTATACTACTACTGTTTTAGTCATGTACGATGCGGCGAAATCACACGAGGTACACACAGATGCCAGTGCTGAGGGGTTGTCTGATATGTTAATGCAACGAGAAAACGACGATTTGAAACCGGTATTTTACTTAAGCAGGCAATGCAGTGATGCAGAATGTAACTATGCCAGCCATGAATTGGAGGTCCTGGCTATAGTTGAAGCACTACAACGGTATAGAATGTATTTGATGGGAAAACATTTTAGAGTGGTAACGGATTGTAATACGGTGGCATCTACAAAGGCAACGACTCCGTTATTGCCACGCATAGCTCGATGGTGGCTCAAACTGCAAGAGTTTGATTTCGAGTGTGTGCATCGGTCGGCAACGAAGAACGCATTGGCAGATGGGCTGAGCAGATGTCCAACTCTTCCACCAACTGAGCCGACAACGGTTGCTGATGAAGTATATGCATTGACTAGTGTTTGCAACGTAAGTGTATGCAACGACAAGATGAAAAGCTGAAGCAGATTATAGGCATAATCAACGGCAAAGAAGGTGAATAACTCAGTGAGAGGGGAGACCAGTATGTTTGCATGTATGTATATAAAAAAATATTTATTGGACCAAAAAGTAGTGGGTAGGCACTGTGGCCAATGGTAATCAACTATTACCACATCCGCATGGTTGTAAGCCATGCAGAGTCCGCAGAATGCTCCGGAAGCAGTGTCCGGAGGATGCATCCGACTAGGCCGAGCATACTTTGAAGTGCCATCTTATTGAGACTGAAGAAAGTTCAATTACTTGGCAGTTGAGAAGTGCATGTGCAAAAATTTCATAAATTTAATGAAGGAAATTTTTGCACATGCAGCAGTACATAACATGCATTTAGGCGCCTGGTGTTAGCAGTCGCGTCTAAACAGAAGGAGTGAATGCAAACCAGATCAGAGACGATTATGTTGTTCAAGGATATCGACTTTACCGCAAAATAGGTAGTGACAAGAGTCTGGTGGTTCCTCAAGGCGTGTGGTGGCGCATAACACGAGATGTCATGACGAAGCAGGTCATTTCGGCGTGGACAAGACATTGGAGCGTTTGGCAAAAGATTTTTTGGTTTGCTCGGATGCGACCGTACGTGAAGACATACATTGCATCTTGTCCAGATTGTTGTTTCAACAAGGTCAGAGGCGGTAAACGAGAAGCACAGCTACATGTTAGGGAAGTGGTACCTATTCCCTTCAGGATCATTCATCTAGATCATCTAGGACCATTCGTGCGAAGTAAGCATGGTAAATGTTACATTTTAGTCATCGTGTGTGCGTTTACAAAATATGTCGTGCTGAAGGCGTTAAGCAATACAAAGACTACACCGGTCTTAAATGTACTGAAATACTGCATGACTATATATGGGCGGCCACAGTGTGTGGTTACTGACAGAGGAACGGCGTTTACCTCAACAGAATTCGAGAAATTTATGGCGGACTACGAGATTCGGCACGTGAAAACAGCAGTGCATAGCCCAAGGGCAAATGGCCAGGCGGAACGCATCAACCGGACTGTGTTCGCATCACTCAAATGCAGCGCAAAGAACGAGAGCTCTACCCCAGCTTCAGTGATGTTTGAATTCGCAGAGCAACGCAATGACTAAGCAGAGTCCAAAAAGCCTAGTGTTCAATTATAAATTGAAAGATGTGACAACGAACCGACTCATACAAGCGGTTCAAAACGAAGACGAGGTGCAGGAAAGCTGTGACGACTTCCGAACGAAAGCCGTAGGCGAACGAATACAGCAAGAGCAGCGTAAATGAAAGCAGCGATTTGATGCGCGGCATCGAACACCAAAGCCGTATGACGAAGGTGATTTGGTGGTTATAAGTCAAGTACCTTCTCCTACAGGATCATCGCACAAGTTAGAACCGGCGTATAAAGGACCATATGTGGTTACTAAAGTCCTTCCACATGATCGTTACTTGGTTGAAGACTTTTCCGACAGGCAGAATACACGCAAAAGGTACTCCGGACTGTTTACCAACGATAATATGAAACCTTGGTGCTCCATTGGGTTGGCAGAATCCGATGAAGCTAATCTAAGTTATGATGACGGCGACGTAGATGATGAAGTCGAAACTGATAATGACGCGAAATCGTCCGGGAGAGACGATCCATCAGGAACGGCCGAACTGTAACGTTTCTTGGTAACCCTTGACGACGAGGCATGCTTGCAATAGTGTGGCAGCATTAGGTAGTCGGTAAATGTGAGCGAAGGAGACTGGTCGTGTGCTGAAGCAACCGCGAATATTTGCTCATCAGTCAATTTTATTACTTTTTCTATTTCTTAAACTAATTACTTAAATAAACCTAAATCTATTGAATACAACTTAATCGTTGTGAATACATGAGTTTTGATTTGTATTTAAAACGGCCATCCCGACACATGTAGTTCTGTGTCAAGTGTTGGGTGTTTAGTGGTCGGCCAGATGTTTTATGTTTCTATGTTATTTATTCGTTTATTTTGGTAATTATTTATTTATTTAGTTTTATAATTGACTATATTTGTGTGATTATTTAATTATTGACTACTACTTGACTACGAATCTATAATCTCTGTGATATTTTAATTATTTATTTATTTTTATTATTTGTTAATGTTATTAATTTTAAACTTATTTGGTTTCCTATCTTGACCATATATTATAATTGATTATCTATTTATTTATTTAATCTATTGTGATATTTTTTATATATATTCCAATACTTATGCATATTTCCATCTGTGATATTTTTTTTATCTATTTATTGACCTAGGCTGCCCTGTGATATAGAATTAAGCATTACGTATGTGTATAGATTTAGCAGTAGCCCAGTGATACTGTTTTTAGTTGTAGATATACATATGTGTGTGCTCACCTAAAACCCAACATAAACGAACTAGATTGATAAGAAACGCGATAGAAGCCCGGCTGTGAGTCGTGGGTCGAGGCCACACGTTAGGCGGGAACAAGACCTTGCAACCAGCCGCGTTAGGAATTTTACGGATACGCTCCATGATGCAGGCACCATCGACGGGTCCGAGCCTGTAGCGCCAGCTGGATGCCAGATACGACCGTATATGCGTGTGTGCGTGCGTGGGAAGTGGACTTAACATAGGTCGATCAGACATCAGTGTTAACTAAGTGTGTTTGTGTGTAATTGTGGGTACAGGATCGAACATAGGTAGTCCAATCAAACGGCTATGTTAACTGAGTTTAACTGTGTGAGCATATGAGCATTGGAGCGAACATAGCTGATCAAACATCAACTTTAATTACATAATGCCCAGTGAAAGTTCGGTCGGCCCAGTAAAACGAAGTTAAGAATGTGTGTGATTGATTGTTCCAAACAGCGGTTTTTCGTTTCAGTTGTCTTTGTACATATGTAAGAACATAAGTACCCCTCCAGTACTGCTGGAGTCAATCGCTACTTTTGAACCGCTACTGCACCGACTCCTAGGTAAGTAGCTACTCTATTAACCCGGTCGGAAGTCGGAAGCAGAATAGCGAAAAACTACGACAGAGGGCGCCCATAAATTACGCAAGTGACTACTTTAGCAGAGAGAGCAGATGGTGACTACCGCCTAGGACATTGCCGGTCGGTAATTGACGCTGTTTATCAGGTAGCTACCGATTCATCAGTCACTCCCACGTACTGCAGGGACATAATTAGGATGAACCCAGCTAGCCTGGCCAAAGGGTATAAAAGGACCCAGACGGCGGCGAACGTGTCAGATTCAAAACTTACGGTGCTAACGTTGTGATCGTCAAGTTATTTTGCAGTGCGAACGTTTTAAGTCCAAGTTGTGCTTATAAAAAAGGGGTGTGTTAAAGTGTGTATATTATATACCGCATTCCGAGTTAATAGTGGTAACTGTGCCATTTTACCGGATTGTCGCGGTACCGGTGACCGCAAAGCACCGCACGTAGTGCTATTTTTGGAACTGGAGGTAAGCCGCACATAATATCATGCCCCAAATCTACATACTTGCATATATGCCTGCAGGATACCAAATGCTTATATACGTATGTAGACAAAAGGCAAATTACCATGATAGGGACGAATAAGCAACGACTGCCCAATACAATTTGCTAAGGAAGAGTTGTTTTTCCCTTTCAGGTCGCCTGCACTTACACATGTATATGTGAATAAAAGGACCTCCACTCGCCGGCCACTTGAAATAGTCACCATCGATATCTTGCCACAAAACTTGTGAGACGTCTGCATCCGCTGAACTCACCGCTGCGCCGTTACAAACGCCACAGATAGTTACAAACGCGCTAGCACATATACATACACACATACCAACCATAGATACATATCTACCAGCACATAACAAGCATATACCGAGATAACCATCATCATACACCTGTACTCGGTGCAAAAGCTTCACCGCGCCTTAAAGATACATCGGGGAAGAGATCACCACCCACACTTTTATTGAAATAACCGGTATACGGCTAGAAGGTAAAAGTCTTCAACGGAGAACTGACCTAGCACAGCTTAGTCAGTGACAACAACAACGTCATCACCGGCAGCTGTGCGGAACATTACAGTCAGAGAAGGCCAACAGTCACTGGGCAGTAGACGCTACCAGAAGTGAAATTTTGAGGGAGCATTACAGCGAGGGAGAATAGTATCAGCAGTAACAGCGCAAAGAGGAGCTACGCCAACAGGAGCAGCGCCGCGGGAGCATAAGTGGTAGGCGCTACGCCTCCGCCGCTGATCAGCAGCAGCGCCGTTAGCACGGCCACTCTTTTGCATTTTAGTTCTTTGC